TATTTATTTTTTGTGCTGCCATTTAGTAAAACTCCAACGACTTTCTAACACTGGAAATAAGCAAACAACCACATAATCTGTAAACAAGGGTCTGGGTTGGKCAARGTTRGTTATTTTGTCATACCGCATTTTGTTGTTGTTTACTTAATCACATAACCACATAACCCGATAACCACCTTATCGTGAACAGCCTAATTAATTAAGCTATAATAATATCATTACATATTGACAGCAGCATCACCTGATGCTTGTCGATCACCGTTACCTAAATAAGCATATAAGATATTAAATTCTAAGCTAAGCAAGTCAGTTGAATTTTGGTTACCACGTCGCCCAGACGTGTATTAATAAACCAGTACTCCACATGTATATAAATTATTTGCAGTCGTTTGCGCATTGTAAATATGCGAATATGTAAGCGTACATACACTCCTTAACATCGGAAATAGTATAACTTTTCTCATTTAACACTGAAAATGCTCAATTCTGCTATTTTCTTGTCCCCTGATGTTAAATGTGGTGAAACACGTTTATCCAAAACAATAAATATCCCAATAGTGAAATATCCCTAATCGTGAACTTTTTCTATTATTTTACGTTCTCTGCTACATATAGACTACGTATAGACTGCGTATCGCCCATATATTCCATAATAATAGTAATATAGCCCGTATCGCCACGGCGACGATCATATCTATATGGGTATATGCCGTTAATCTCGTCCCTCCAAAAAGAGTTTCAGTTGGAAATTAACAACAATCCAAGAGAATGTACTAAACGATATGGAACAACAATAGATGCTGTATTTATTAGATATCTTGATAATGTGATGTCTAATATTTACTTTTATAACATACTTGAGTTATCGTAGACCAATTGTCACAGTAATACCGTCAGAGGCAACTACGATTGTAACTATTACGGAAGTCACTGATGGAAATAATTGAGTTGACGTGATTTTAAACAAATATTTGGATAAAATTTTGTGTATAAAGAAAATAAATGTTTATTGAATAAACTATCTGTCAAAATTTTCTGGAAAAAATTCATAATATTGTATTCTTTCATTGTGTACCATATTTAGTTAATGTCATAATCTGTACTCTCAAACTTATTACTTGTATAAAATAATTTCAATGTTTCACATCTGCCAGCTATCAACTGACAGCTCACATTTTTATATGAAGATGTCTCTGTTAGTTTAAACGCGGCTTTATCGGCAATTTGCTTGAATTTTTCGCAATTACCTATGATTAGCTGTATATGTTCCATTAATTTTGGATAGTATATTTCATCTTCAGAGAATACAGTACAGCCAACGGAAAAAACCCCAACAACAAAATTGACATTGACGTGAATTTTCTCGACTTGCGTCAGTGATCCGTTTGCGATAAAATACTCTATTCGGAAATGCCTTACATAGAATGCATCGTCGAAGAAATGTTACACAAGAAAACAAGGCCAAAAAGTAGATGGACATTCAGGTGTGTTCTGAACTAATGCATTAGAATGAATTTACACGATCCACTCACAAAACGATGATTGCTTCTTCCTTCGGTTGCTATTGATTCAACTTCATTTGAGTCGTTGCGAACTCTGAATGGTACGGAGTGTGCAACTTTTTGAGAAGCATGGCTTGGTTGCCGCAGAATCATTTGCGTCTCAAAGGTGTATCTGTCATTATTATGATTCGCAATCTTCATGCGCCGAAACTGTGTAATGGGATCCATTTAATTGGCCGAATGCTTGCCTGCTATACGTGGCGTGTTCGTAAGTTCGAAACCCATCTCTATACGTTTACGCACTGGAATAGACACCAAAAAATGTTCTTTATCAAGCAGCGCTACTTTAAAAAAACTAGAAAAATCGCAAATAAATGATTTAAACATAAAATATAGTACATTCAACTTTTTTTCATTTCAAAACACTTAGGGTTACCTAGTACATACATATGTATATATGTATGATACATATGTATATATGTATGATACATATGTATATATGTATGTTAGTGAACGAGAGGGGCCGTTCAAATTATTAAAAAACAGTTTGAAAAGGCCGGTGGAAAATCGTTTAAAAATGTGTTTAAAGTGCCGTACGAAGAAATTAAAAAAAGTTGGAAAAAGCCGTTGGAGAACTGTTGAAAGTGCCGCAAATCAAAAGAACCGGTAAAAGCAAAAGTGCAGTATAACCAATCCGTTGCTGCTATAATTATTTCGCTGTCATCACTCCGCTGCTGCCACAACGTCGCTGCTACTATCAAACCGCTGCTACCATCAAGCCACGGCATTCTTCATTCACAATTTCATTCATCGACATTTTTTGTTTATGCGAGTTGATCCTCAATATTGAATTATTCTGTGCCAAATAATTTTTTTTCGTGAATTTTAATTCCACCAAAGCAAAATGAACAAGCCAAAGCCAACTCTCGCAAACCTGTCTCCAAGTAAGGAGTTGACGGGCTTAAAGTCTTTAAGAC